TTAGATTGTTTGAAAAGCAGAAAATCACATACATGTCATAGAAAATGAAGACTAGTTAATCGCAGAGAAATCATAAAACTGGTAAGCAACAGGTCCCCGAAAATTGGGAATCAGTTATATTCAAAATTCTTACAAAATTTAGTGATAAAACAGCAAAAGTAAAACGCAAAATAAAAAACCCATTAGTCTACTGTTACCCGTGTCCTTCAGCAAAAAGCAGCGCGATATCAGAGAAATCATCTGCTTCATTGTCAACTCGTCGTCTTTTTTCAATAGGTGGCAATGGGCGGAGATAGACCGGTTTTTTATGCTGCTCTCCAAGAGCAAGCTTAAGTGGAAACGTAAAAGACCAGAGATTAGCGGATTAAGGAAGTAAACTATGGTGAACTGGAACTATGGTGAACAACATACTGAATATTAGAAGCGTACCGTGATAACACCTTTTAGAAGTTTGCGTGCCATTTCTTTCTTTTGTTTCTCCAAAAGGATCTCACCGCCTTCGATCATGGCTCGAACCTATGCAGTTTAGATTAATTGTCTAAGATAGATCCACACAGAAGCATGCGAGGGGTTGAAGTCTTGAACACCTTGCTATCAAAAGTTTCAACAATCTCTTGTGTAACTTCAGGAATCTGCATGAGAACCTGTGGTAGCGAATCCGAGAAACGACGCTGCAAGCAGGAATAATTTAAAAAAAAACATTCAGTTAGTTAGTGGGAATTACCAGAGCACAGTAGATATGAAACACCAGTGCTATTAACGGAGTGCCCGCTACTTCATCTGCTCCATGAAGTTGAAGTGAACGTATTGCGCACACCAACATGTAAACTCCAACTTCGTCGTCGTAACACTCCACCATCTGACAACAATACACATAGATGTTTCTTAAAATCGTTTATATAAATTGCGAAAAGTCGCGGCACCTTTTCTGACAATGCTTTACAAATTGCGATCGACCTCAGTGCTAATAGTGAGTCACGGAAAGTTAAACATGAAAATGTTGTCATAATGACTGATGGTAACCCAACGTTATTGGTGAACAGCCATTCTCCAAGTGGTGATAGTGTATAACTTTTCTTGTCGTCACCTGAAACACTAAACTAAAAGCAATGGAGAAAAAGAATTTATAATCCACCATCAATAGGGAGGTAACAGCATCGCAGAAAATTGATGTACTCTCGAGACATAACACATGTCAAGTGTTCGTAAAACA